TATAACTTGAGCGGCTTTTTGTCACAATTTTTAAACGCCTTGTGGTAATATTCACTTTTTGTAGTTAGGGTCATTCTCTTTACATGATTTTTAACTGATAGAAGACGTTGTTCGTGACTTCATTTGGAAATGTCTTCAAGTAAGAATACCGTAATCGGTCCCTATTATATAAGGCCGCTAAAATATCACTATTTATCCAGTCTGACCGTGGTGGGTTTTGAATTTTTGTTTTCTTGTTCTTCATTTTTCTTATCTTGCTACGTTTGAGAGCTTCAGAAAGTTCTGTATCTAGTTCTTCAATTTTAATTCATGGCAACCGGATAGGCATTGCTTTACAGTTCGTTCAATTTATTGTAGTCAATAGCTTCATACACAGTCTTTTTATTCTGCTCTGGTTTATATTTATGAATCTCTAGGTAAATGTGTTTGTGGCTTTGTGGTCAGACATGGCTGACTCGATAATAGTGTTACGAGCTTAGGGTACGTGACAGTAAAAACTGCCGATTGAATTACTAAAATTCTCACTTTAATTACTGAACACCAATAAGAACTTAAATCACACTAATAAATATTCACACTTTAGTTCACTTTATTCACTCCGAAAGCTTGGCTCGTATTGCCAATTCAATACTGCCCGGTCTCGGCCCTAAAAGCCTTTATATAGGCCTTCTCCACCGAAACATCTAGAATGTTCCAGCAAATACCGGTTCCGACCGAGTAGATGTAGAATGAATTCGAGTTCGGACAAAGTCCGAACTAGATATTTTGTAGTCTAGTCTAGAAAACTAGAAAGCTTAATTCTTCTATTCGATACTAGATGGTGCTGTATGTGGAAAGTTCAGACATTGCATTTTCTAGAAAACTTTCCTCGCTCTGTTCCCCGACACTAGATGGCGCTAGTGCCAGGTACCAGATATCAACTTAGACGCGCAACAATAGCAAGATGAAAATTATGGTATTGCAGGTTTGAACTAACATGGTCTAGAATTGTTTTAGAATTAGATGTTTCACGCGCGCAGTATTTATGGTATATTTTGTTAAGTAGGCTACACCCATTTTCTTGTAGCATTCGTTTGTATTTGACAGTTGTTTGGTTATTGTTTATTAAGTTGAAGTTGTAGTCTCCAAACACAACTGCTGGTTTCCGTTTCAGTAATTGTTGCGAATAAGTTCCTAGGAAGTCAGTGTTGTTCGTTCTTGCGTGTTTATAGATGGCGCCAATATCAATAGAAAAATCTGTTTAAATTAATCCGTAAGTAGTTATTGTCGTTTACACAAAGGTCTTCTTTGTGATTGTGGTTGAGACTATCGTGCAGGTAGATGGACACACCTCCTCCTCGTCCTGTTGTTCTAAAGTTTTATTATTATTAAAATGGGTATAACTTTGTAAGATTAGGCTTTCTGCTTCTGATTCACATTTTATCCAGGTTTCAGAAGTATTATTACATGTATTGTTAGAGGTATGTAATGTATTATGCATTTAAGTTCATCTAATTTGCCTGGTTTAACAATGCATCATACATTTGCATATAGACACTTTAGTGATTTTCCATCATTAATGATATTGATATGTGTGTTCGTTATTTGGTATGTGATATTGCTACATGTTAAATTGCTGTCATTGCCTCTTGTGCAGGTAGGTTTTTTGGACAATCTTGGACAATTTGTGGATCGAAGGAACTTAATAGTGAGACACCGTTCTCCTGTGTCTATGCGACGTTTCAGTTCACCTCGTCTGTCATCCGTAAGTTTCTTCCGTAGAGGCGTCTGATCGAAATAGCATTTTGTGTTGGTTTCCACATTGGATATATTGGATCCGTTACGTCATATTAATTTAGCTGTTTCAGCTGAAGAAAAACAAGCTTTTATGGGTCGAGATCTCTCACAACTGTATTTTCCTAACCTCATGAGTTTTATAGGCTTAGGACCGTCGAGATATGCAGGTTTTATTATTCTTTGTACTTCCTTTTTATCGTGGTCCATTCTCACCAACAAATCTTTGGAACTGATTTAGACGATTCCACTCATGACTCTTCTCACTTCTTTTCTCCCCAGAAACATTCTTGGATTTCCTAATCATTTTTTTGTATGATGTAAGGTTTGAAACACTTCATTACAATCGACGATTTCATAACTTATCGATTTATATTAAATTACTCGTGTTTATATCATCTAACGCCTATCTTATGTACCACTTTGAGAATTAATTAATTTTTGTTTTATAAAATAACTTTATCAATAGAATGAAGTAGATGGTGCTATTAGAAAGTAATTTTATTTGAAAGAAAACTAAAATCACAGCCTAAAAATAATGACTGTTACATTTATTTGCTATAAAATGAAACTTTTATCTTATATTTTTGCCGCACTTGTTGTTGAAAATGATCATATTAAATAAATCCTTTTGCTGTGAAATATTTTTATTGTATATCTTATTTCATTTGAAGGTTTCACTTCTACCGCGTGTGAACAGCACACATGTTTTTTTTTGTTCGTATCATTAGGCGCATTACTGGTCCATTGGGTTAAATGGTCTAAGACGACTACGCATCATTTGACGTTGACCAATCATCAATATGACTAGTATTGTGTAGTTCATGAACGATGAACGATAAGGAAACGTTTATTATACCCCTATTACACTGCACTGAATCAGGGTCCCTAAGCTCTTAATAAGACTGGTGTAATAATTGTAAGGGAGTAACAGTACGTTCAAAACGTTACAGTTGTTCAAAACGGGTAGAAATCAATAGCATGCTACAGACTATAAACTTTATTTTTCTAACGCGCTATTAAGTACGATATATATAGTGTGCTATTAATAAGAAAGTCTGTCGGAAGCCGGAAAGCGCTTAAATTGTTGCAACACTAAGCGTGCAACGTACGTGTATTTCGTAGAATTACAATTACATGTCGCTCGTTGGATATATCGTGTACTATATAAGAAAATTATTTCGTAATAAGTCGCATTTTAGATTAAAATAAAATAAAATCGTAAAGAAAACAGAAAAAACCAATGAACAGATTATTCATTGGTTTTTCATACTGTTCAGGTTTACGACTGTCTTAATATATGTAAATGTTATTTTAACTTTAATGTAAATTATAAGTCAATTAAAAGCGTATTCAAAAGTTTATTGATTGTATACAAAAAAATCAACTGTATATAATATACTATTTTATACACTTTTATATCTATATTTTATTTACATTTTAAGACAATAGTAAGGCTACTTTTATAGCAGACAACCATGTCCTTCGATCACTTATAAATTTATAGTATACACCACCTAACCAACGTCTAACAATAAATAAAGTCGCGTGCAATGAATAGCGAGCTGCTACTGCTATAGTATGTGCTAAATCGATTGAGACAAACGGACGAAGACCTCGGATATGAGCCGAGTGTCAAAAAGCGTAACTTACAAAATGTCAATTTAGATGTGATAACAATATTTAAGTATTGATATTATTCACACTTCTAGGTCAGCACATATGTTTTGTTTTTTTGTTTATTAAATAATATTTTCTGTCGTTCCTATAAATATCGTAAAATCTTACGGTACATCGCGAAATTATTTCATATATTTATTTATATTACAATTTATGGTAAGTAACGCAGCAATTCATTTAATTCATATTAAAAAAAAATATTTGAAGCAATATAATCCACTTCAAATAAAATAATAATAAATCAATAATAACTAATACTTTATATTTGTAATGATTTGATTTATAATATTTCTAATAATTAAAGTTACAAAAAACGTAATTAATTTATTAATAAATAATAATAATAATAAATAAATAATAATTTCGTTATTTTCGCACTACAGCTCGCTTTTATTGAGACAACTTAGTGATCGCAGCGCATCAATTATTTGCTCCATATTTCTGGGACATTATTTTCTACAGCGATCTTCTCCTGTTCTCTTAACTTCATAGTTGTAATCATGGAGGTTAGGGAACAGGAGAACGATCGCTACATACTAAGGCATAGCCCGCCTGTCCTTGAAAAATTGTAGAATTTATAACGGCGCTGCCGTCGGTGAGTAGTGGCTGCGAAGTTAGCTGTATATGAGTTAAGTTGGTTGAATAATGTTCACATTTTCTTAGCGGCATTGGTGAGAAAATTTTCATGCTCCGTAATTTTTGACAAAAAGAAACATTAAAAATGGAGAAATATTTTATTGTGCGTGAATGTGCAAGTGATTTAACATCTGAAAATGACCTTTATTGAGCGTACTTAGCGATCGCAGTGCCTCAATTATGGTATTCATATTTCTGGGACACTATTTTCTACGGCGATCGTTCTCCTGTTCTCTAACCTCCATGGTTGTAAAGCTGGCTTTCCACTATGGGATATAATATATATTATATCCCGAAATATAAATTATATCCCACGATTCTCCTTCAGACTGTGAGAAATATCTTTTAACCAGTGTGGCGTTCGTCATTGGACGATCTGAGGAGCGTAGCGGAGGCGCGGAAGGGTGTGCGGGGTACAGAAGTTTAAATATAGTATAAAGTGGGATGTTATACATATTATATCTCATTGGAAACGGTTCCATTTAATTACGGTGAGCGATATTAATTTATATCTCGAGATGTAATGTAAATTATATTGTATCCCATAGTGGAAAGTCGGCTTAATAGTAATAAACTAACAGATTATAAATACTTATTAAACATTTTCATCCCACAGAGTACTTTTTAGATACTTTCATTAGTTTCATTTTATGTGTGGAAATTAGCTTTCCCAAATGCCTCTGAATAATACTTTTACTGAGTGTTATTAATGAGTAAGTAAGTCACGATTATAAAAGCAACCTAAAAATCATACGTGAACGTTATTTTTAATTTTGACAATGATACATCTTTTTTTCATTTTTATTCTATGTTGTCAAGTTGTCAACTTGCGTCAAATCAAATCGTCGAGTTGGAAAAATTGCATGTCGCTATGTTCAGTCAAGTCAGAACTCGAAATAAATAAATTGGTCATGGCTGAAATCGAGGGACGTAAACATCGGGAATCTAATTTCCTAGACGGAGAAGGTAATTAATGTTGAAATATTATTGCTAAGGGCGCGTGCGTCGTAGTGCGTAGCGCGGACGGCTGTTGCGTCGTCGTCCGCAAGTTACCCTCGTGTAGCTCTTGTGACATTGAAAATGGGTTCTTTTTATAATTGCTGCCTGGATTGTGGTGCGGGGCCTCAAGAGACAGAGTGAGCTAGCCGCATGTCGCTCTAAGTGATACTGTCACCCAACGGCCCCGGGAAAATGACCGGAGGATCGGACAGGAGCCTCGCTACAGGTACTGATTTTGTTTTGTTGTAGTTTTCGGACGATATCAGTCGACAAGATGATAGCACGACGTATCGGGCATAAGACATTAAACTTTTGATATGTACGTGGATTAGCTTTTACAAAATACAACGAAGAAAAAAATTACCCTTTGTCCACAAAAAATCTGTCTGGTACGTTGTGTGTCATTAGCATATTGTTTTATGTTTAAATTAGGAAAAGGAAAAGAAGTATTGAGTTCTTACCTTTTGACCTTTGTTATTGTTCAGCAATCATTTTTATTTTAATTAATTCAGTGCAGTCATATACTAACATATTTCTTGTTTTCTTGACAAGAATCTGAAATATATGCATTTATGTTCATGAAAAATTGTTGCTTAGGTAAAATTACAACAACAATTTCATATTTTACCACAGCTTATATAAAATATTAGGCTTATAACAATTAATTACTTTTTACAGTAATAGCACAACATGAGCTGTTTGTCACTGAATTTGCAAGTGAGGTTGCTTAGTACCTTGTCTTTAATACCTTTTATGTATAACACCTAATAAATTATTCTGCTCATAATCACACACACAATCCTTATGAGACTAATATTTTAAGGAAATTATATTTTATTAAAATTTATTATTTTTTACCTAAAATATGAGATCTTATATAAATTATTAATCTCCGTCTTGGTAAAGGCATAACTCAATTTTATCTTTTTTAGGAGGAGAGAAGTATATTATAATAAATCCAGTCACAATGTTTGTGAACTCGACCTTAATAAAATAAAATGTATTATTAAGTAAATTCATCAGGGAAACACACTTGAGTTTTGCAATTATTTCTTAATTGCAATATAACTATTGCTTAAAATTGGCTCTCTACAATTTTGATAAAATTTACAAAATAGAGGTTTACAGTGGTGGTGGTAGGGGGGAGGGGGATTTGGTTTAGCTAGGGTCTCATTTTTTTTGGGAAATCTCCATTTGAAATGAAATATGATAATGAAACTATTAAGATATTTAAAACAGTCAAATGGTTAGAGGGTAGTGATACATTGGAGTGCATGGCATTGAAATCTGCAATGTAGTCTAGTTTTCTATTTTTCGTTTTTTTTTAGTATTCTAGCCCAAATGACCCTGCAGATAGGCAAAAATATATTATTATAGATTATTAAAATGTTTTGTCTACAGAGTAATATAATATCTTCATGGAGCTATGCATGCTTTTAACCATGAGGGCAAAATTTTGAACTAAAAATGTTTGATAACAGTATGTTTGATAGTGTTTTTACAGATAATTGTTTTATCATTAAACATTCTTATCTAATACATTTTGAATAAATTATTAAAATAATAAATAAGTGTAATAGTATGTATATTTACATGTATGTTAGGTTTTTCTGAAATAACGATTACTAGATAGTTGTAATCACTCTGAAAATTATGTCTTTTAACTCCAAGCAGATTAAGTTTAACCAATTGCCCAAGTACTAAAATTATAAAAACCTTGAATTAAAACTAATTTAACTGATAAACACCAAATTTTTTGACTCTCTTAAAATGTAAAGGTTACAGCCTTTTTGTACTTCCTACTTGTGGGTTCAGGCCTCCTCTTATATCTGAGAGGGTTTTTTTGAACAAGAATGTGTCCACTGCGGTGTCCCAATGCATGTTAGCAAACTTCGCATAATGTGTTCAAAATATAATTTTTTGAATTTTTGAGCCATACAGGTTCCCTCTTCATGTTTTTTTCACCGCTGAGCACTTAGTAAATCAGCAACCAAAATTGCAATTAACAATTCCATTGATGTTGACAGGATTGAACCCATGTTCTCATGTACTATAAAAATTACAGCAGGCTTTTAACTCCTACAACTACCCTAGCATATGATTTTTAACTGTTTCATATTCAGTTTTATTTTAATGTAATATTTGATGCAATAATTTGATTAAATGTTGACATAGATCTTGTGAGGACTCATAAGATAAAAGTTATTAGATAAGTGATAAATAAACTTTCTTATCTATTTAAGATAAGCAAAATATATTTAGCATGATAAAAAATACTATATCATAAATTTTAGTGTGGCTCTTTTCTTTAAATTTGTTTTCCATTGTCAGCAGTCCATAAGCAGTCCATGATTGCTATTAGTCTTCCCCAGAGCTTGCTATAACTGCCTTGCTTGCCAGGCATATTTTCATAACATACCAATTTTTTTACCATTAACAATTCCTATATATGGTAAATAATAATTTATCAATACTAAAATATTATATGTTTAAAACTGCTTGGCATGTGTTGCAATGATTTTGTAATTCAATGGATGGTAGTAATATATTGTAGAGCCATGCCACAGCTATATTATTATATGGTTGTAGCATGAATGGGTTGGCTTGACTGGAGAAGGCCTGTGCTCTCACAGAATACCAGTGTCAAACTGCAGCTTTTAGAGGAGACCCTTTTCCTGAAAATGAGACATTTCACCTTATTGCTCCGGGATAACACATAAATATTTTGATTAATAATGGAGGTTAGATTTGGGTGTCTATAGGCCAAAGCATCTACTTACCATCAGGTGGACTGTGTGCGCTCATTTGTCATCCTTATTCTATATAACAAAAACTAGGAAACCTTTTTGTCAGCTCACAGCTAACACTGACCAAAATTTCATCACAAACAGATGAGTGGTACAGCCATCCTTATGGGACAATAAAATACTTATAAACATATTATATATAGATGATATTACAATATACATTAAAGGTCTGATACTCGTATATACCACAAATATTGGATTTTCAATCGTTTTGTCCCATTTTTAAGAGGAATCATAGTTGTATCATCATCATCATCATCATCATCATTCAACTCTTCACAAGTCCAGTGCTGAACATAGGCATCCCCCAAGAAATAACACAAAGTTTAAGCACAAGAAATTAATTATACTAGTACCTGGTTGACCGAGATATGCTCGGTATTTTTCGCTCGGTTTTTTTTTAATTCGTGTGTTTTGGAAATTATATTTAGATACAAATTACATACAGATGAAATACGAATAATATTTTTTGATCTTAGCGACATAATAGAAAAAACTGAACTGTTTATTTGAATAGAAAATAATGAGTAAAAGCAATTAGTTTAATTTAAATTTTCGTGTTTTTAAAAAATACTAAAAAGAAGGGCTCGAAAAAATAGATTTTCTCAAAAAAAGAAAGGAACTTGGAAAAAAATTAAAAAAAGTCGGTCAGTCGGTCTGGGCTCGAACCATGGTATTACGATTTTGTGACCGCCCAATATACCAATTAAGCTATTTGTAATCATTAATAAACTGTCAAAATTTACCTTCTTATTCTAACGATATTGTAGCAGTTTTTCATTGCCTAAAAACACGGACAAAAAGACATTTTCTAAAAATAAATTCTAGCTAGATCGATTTATTGCCCCCGAAACTCCATGCACACAAAATTTTATGAAAATCAGCTGTATACAGATTCCGATCATATATATATATATATATACAAGAATTGCTCGTTTTAAGTTATAGGATATAGTCAACCAAATCTAGGAAATACCTTTTGAAGTTTCACATTCATCATTCCGCATTAACTTTGCACAAGCGTACTCACACTATTAAAAATAACCTTTTACGTAAATCCAAAGAATTATGAAGTCATCTGTATTTCATTACAACATGTATAGTTTTTTTTATCACTAATTTAAATTCGAATCTTTCAAACAAAGCAAAATATTAAAAAAATAACCAGTCAACCTTTTACTTTACGTTTTTTCAATGATATGTTGCTATGTATCTTATTAGTGTTTGGATGATTAAAATTCATTGTTATGCGAATAATTGGCAAAAATATTCAAATATCGATAAAAATATCCAAATAATCGAATCATTTAATATTTTTAATGTATTATTTCCTCAATTAAATTTTTATTTTAAAAATTCCTTAAATTACATGAATCATAATTAAAAAAGATTGATATTTTTTTTACTTTGTCAACGTAAATTTGTGTAGGCAAAACACTACGTTATTTCAATCTCACGCCATTTCGAAAGCTTACTGTGCGTAATTTTGTAATTTTGTGTTTGTCTTCTTATTTTGTGACTCGGCTTTAACTTTTTGGACTGTTTCTTCTTTCGTCATAAAAAAGGAAAAAAAGACATTAATTTTGACTGCATTATTGAAAATAAAATAATAATTAATCTAAACAATGACAGCTCAATTAGCTGTACTGAAAGTGATTGAATAAATTTATTTTTAATCTAGTATCAATTTTAAATTTTTATATCCTTGCCTCTAGAAATAAGCAGTAACACAGATTAATAATAGTAGTACTATGTAGCAGTAACAACGAATACGAAGAAACTGATAAATCTTGTGTTTTAAATTATCCGTTTTTAATTTATTCTGGTATTATTCACACCAAACTGTAAATGATTACCAACTTGAAATAATCGATATCGATTGTTTTAGGAGTCGAATATTGTACGTTCCTATTTTTTGGTTGGCAATGGCTTGGTGCAATAAGTCTGACAGTTGTCAAAATGTATTTTCTTAGATTTGGTTGACTATAAAATCAACTTTTGTCACCAAAACTATATTATTTGGTAGGTCTACATAATACATAATCTACAGCCACTCAACATTATAAGGGATTTGGTGAGATTCGTGACGAATCTTCCAACATTACCACCATGATTCCAATGTTATTAAAAGCCATTATGAGTCTTCAAGCCAAGAGTGAA